CGCGTCCGTGAAAAATGAAGTATGTTTTATATATTGGCAAAATTACATTAAGTTGACATTTAAATTATAAACATTGTTGTGGCTAATATAGCTGACAGGACTATATGTCAACCCTGTCTAAACATATGAAAAAAAATACAAAAAAATACAAAAAAACCTTACAAATTAGTGAGAACATGTAATCATTTACATATGAACGTGTTTACTTATCAAATATTATTTAAATGTATATTACTAGAATTGCGTTTGCTTTTTAGTGATTTCTCTTTATCTTGACTTTTCTTGTGACTATTTTTTTTCTGTTACCTTTTCTCCATCCAGTTCTCAGGAAGTTTCTTTTGTGTGATTTTTCCACTTTTGTTTGTTTCAGCTGGTGCTACATACAAAGAAATGTGTATCTTTTTAAACACACTTGTGTAATGGTAAAATTTTGGTTAAGATAGAGAAGTAAAACGGGAGGAAAAGATACCAATGGGGCGGCGAAAACCATAGGTCGAAAGAAAGACAGACAACTTTGTAAAGAAAAAAAAAAACAAGCAAAAAAACAAGTCCGCAAAACACTAAAAATTGATCACGAACCCAAGCTGAAAAAATCGAACTCTGAAGGAACTGTAACTTGAGAAAAAACAAAATACAATAAAATATCAGATGCTGACAAAAAGTAATTATGCAATTTAGATATGACAACTTCAGTAAAAAACATTAATTAATTTTGGATTCTTACATTGGTTCCAGAGGATTTTCGGATTTATCCAATTGAGATAATTAGAATTCGATAATTTAACTATCGAGATTAGATAAATTCTATAACTTAACTATCGAGATTATATAAATTCGATAATTTAACTATCGAGATTAGATAAATCCGATAATTCACGAGTAACTCTGTAAGTATATATTTCTCTAATGATTATCAAAATAAATTTCATTTTTGATAAACGAAAATGAAGCCCATGTAGAACCTCCAAAACATATAATTTGAATCTGATATCACAAATTAAAATCGGTATCATGAATTGTAGAACTCGTTATCACGAATCTATGGACTTAGTTATTACGGTTTTTGTAATTCGTAATATCAGATTACATTCGTTATCACGATTTTATGTAATTCGTGATAACGGATTAAAAACGTGATAAAGAATTGATTAATTCAATATCACGAATTAAATTCGTTCTCAAGAATGTGTGCAATTTGTTATCACAGTTTTTTTTTGTAATTCGTGATTACAAATTAAATTCGTAATCACAGATTTTTGTTATTCGTAATGACGGTTTAAAATCGTTATAACAAATTGTATTATTCGTGATAACGGATTAAATTCGGGATAACTATATCTACGAATTCGTGATAACTATTCATAAAATTAATTTTTACTATTTTGATCCGTTATCACGAATTGCAAACAAATTGAAATAACTATTTCTTTGAATTCGTGATAACGAATTCAGTCCGTTATAACGATTTATAAAAATTCGTTATCACGATTTATAAAATTCTATTTTACGATATTAATCCGATATCACGAATAACAAAAAATAGTCCTAAATGGACTTTGAAACGGTTAACATGCCAAAGAATTAGAGAATATGTTTTATATATTTGCAAAATTACTGTAGTTATAAAATTGTTTTAACTAACTAAACACGGTAATATCTGTATCGTACTACGGAAGCCCATTTAGGACCTCCTAAAATATATATTTGAATTCGAAATCACGAATTTAAATCGTTATCAAGAATTGAAGAATTCGTTATGACAAATTAAATTCGTGATAACGAATTTCCTGAATAAGTTATAACAGTTTTTGTAATTCGTAATAACGAATTAAATTCGTTTTCACAATTTTTGGTAATTCGAGATAACGGATTAAAATCGTGATAACGAATTGTATAAATCGTTATAACGGATTGAATTCGTTATCACGAATTTGTAGAATGTGTTATCATTTTTTTTTAATTATTCGTTATAACGGATTAAAATCGTTATAATGAATTTCATAAATAGTTATAACAGATTAAATTCGTTATCACAAATTCGTAGAAATAGTTATAATGAATTTAATCCGTTATCACAAATTATACTTTTTGATTTAACGATTTTAAACCGTTATCACGAATTACAATATTCTGTGATAACGAATTTAATCAGTAATCACGAATTACAAAAAAAACTGTGATAAAAAATCACACAAATTCGTGAGAACGATTTTAATCCGTAATAACGAATTATAAAGTTCGTTATCACGTTTTTAATCCGTAATCACGACTTACAAAAAAATGTGATAACGAATTCAATCCGTTATTACGAATAAAAAAAAAACTGTTATAACTAATTCTATAAATTCGTGATAACGAATTTAATCTGTGATAACGAATTCTAGAATCCGTGATGACAATTTAAATTCGTGATATCGAATTCAAATTATATTTTCTGGAGGTCCTAAATGGACTTCGTATCTGAATAGTTTAATATTTACTTTCAGTAATGATTACAATCAGACTTGCAAGTCTTCATTCCGTTTAAAGAAAACTTTGAAAGCGTGGCGTGTCACGACGAGGATTTAAATAGATAAATGTCTAGAGTACAAGGAACTTCATTGATTTCATAATTTAAACCTATTATCCTGTTAAGTTATTAAAACTAAAGCTCCACACCAAGCCGATATAAATAGGTTGGCGCGTTGCAAAAAAGGCATGCTTTCCTCGGACTGCTGATGACGTATTTTACTTTAAATTATTTGGATTGATTGATTGATTGATTGATTGATTGATGTCACACGCCACTTTCAGCACTATTGTGCTAATTCGTGGCTGGTCAGTTTTTATTGGTGGAGGAAGCTGGAATTCCCGGAGAGAACCACCGACCTTCTGTAGGATAAATTATTTGTATGTATACTCATTGATATTTAAGTCAGGGAAACATGGTTTTTAATCAGTGGAAATTCGGCTTTGAACTACATGTACCTTTCAATAACTGCGAGCACTCTTAGATTGTTATTTATTTTTTCTGTCGTTTTTTTAGTTGTTTTTTTTGCAACAGATTTTTACAATTTGTTCTTATCTTGCGCTGTTACATGTACACGACTGACCAATTAAGGTTAGTGTCTTGTGTTTATGCTAGTTGTTTTTGTGGTTCGTTTCGATCTGATCAATCAAGCCATTTAAAACGGATTTTTACAGTTTGTTTTTGTGTTAGGTTGTTGCATAATTTCCCTAGGTAAGTTGAGTGTTAAACTCTCGCATTTTTAACCCAGTCATATCATGCATCTACCTATCCCAAGTCAGGAGCCTGTAAATCAGTAGTTGTCATTGGTTGCTGTCTGTTATACCAGTTTTTCTTTATTGTTATGTTATAAATCAAGCCGTTAGTTTTTTTCTATTAAATTGTTTACATTTTGTCATACTGAGATCTTTTGTAACTGACTATATAGTATGGTATTTGCTCATTGTTGAAGGTAGTACTGTGACCTATGATTGCTTAATCCACGTTATTCGGACTCTTTTTGATAGTTGTCTCATTGGCTATCATACCATATATTCTTATTTCATATAGGGGAGGTAATCATTCCGAAATAGTACCAAGAATCAAGATAAAGCTTTCAATGAAAATTGACACATGGGTTTGGCTGTTATTTTGGGTTAGGTGGGGGGGTTTTAATTTTGTTTTGTTTACACTGACTTAAAAAATACTAGTAGAATCAAATTAAAATAATTATACTGTCCCCCCAAAAAGCAGGAAATAATAGTGTACAAAATTGAAAATAAACATTAGCGCGGCTAGAAGTTCAGTTTCACTTTCAACTTCTTTGTTGAAAAAATTACTAGACGGAGGGCGAACGCGGGTCTGTAGGCATCATTTTCTTTGTTTTTTTTATACCGACTTCAATTCGGTTGACCTGATGACGAGCACTTTGTTACGCCAGAATATATTTTGGGTGGATATGTTTTACCTATAAATGTTAGAAGGTATATACCTACGTATCAGCAACAGTTGTTATGTCTGAAATGTCTGAAAAGTCTGAAAAGTCTGAAAAGAAGCGTTGGCTCACTCGGATATGGCGTGTCAAACGTTGCAATATTAAAAAAAAAATATATGTTCATAATATATATCCATAAAAAGTTATTTAACATATATTCATGAAAAGTTCAATACATATTCATACACACAAAATTTTTATAAAAAAAGGAATAAAAATATGTGTTCATAAAATAAAATATATGTTCTTAAAAAATTATAAATACGGTTCAATAATTTGCATCATGGGATTCCTCGTTGCTTTTGTAACAGTGTATTTGATTGGGTATACGCACTGAAACCCTGACCGGACGGGACTCCGGACACGGACTTTGGTCTGAAACCCTGACTCGGACTAGATGCAGGACCAGGACTAAGAAAATTATGGGGGAAAGTGTTTAAATTTACTAGCATTAGGTTCTCCTTTTGTGTACCATACTGATGGAAGGAAGTTAATTTTTGGATGTTTTTAAGAACATTTATATTTTTTTTAAGAACAAATATTTTTTTATGAACATATATTTATGTTTTATACATATATATCTTATTTTATGAACACATATATTGATTTTTTTGAATATATATTTTGTTTTCATGAACATATACTCGTTTTTACGAACAATGATTTAATTTTTATGAACATTCATTTTATTTTTTGTGAATTTTGCAACGTTTGACACACCATATTCGGAATATAAGGAAAACTACCGATCATATTGGAAAGGAAGTTACCAGTATACACTATGTTAATGCCTTTCTTTTTGATTGTTTATGTTTGTTGAATTATCTTAAATTAAATTGTTTAAATTATGTTTTTACATAAATCATTCTAAATCAAAATGACATACGTATATGTGATACTATGAAAAATATTTTCATACGATTTGGTATTTGTAACAACATGATATATCGTATCCTTGAATTTAAATAGTTTTTTTTAAATACATTGAACAAAACATTTTAATTTTAAAATCAAAAGTACTTTTGAATTACATTAGCAATAACATATGTTTGACATAATCATATCTTGACAACAATTACATTACACTAATGTGATGACAGTCAGAAAAAACAAACACATAACGTATATCAGTTTCATGTTTGGTTGGATAATTTTAATTTCTAAATCATGATAAATGTTGTAATGGAAGAGAGAATTTATTTCATCGTCTTGATAATCTTCTCGCGATTACATGTTGTAACAGGAGGAATAGGTGCATTTACGAACAGTAAGTTACAGAAAACATTTGTAGACAATATTATTTCTAAGTGATATTTTGAATATGTTTTTGAATATCATATTCTCAGTTAACCTGAAATGAGAATCTTTTTTTCTACTGTCTCTTTTTGTCGCTTCCGTTTTAAAAAAATCTTATGCAATTATATCAAATAAGGGATAAATATATAATTTATGTTCGGTAGGAGAATAAAAGCAGGATTACATTGGCAATTATTTAAACATGTGTTACGGATTTTTTTGTCAAAAATTTTATAGAATATTTTGTAACTTTTCTTTCTATCAGACTATTTTTCATGATAAGGCGACACATATTTGACAGGAATCGATTAACGCCAAATACTATTTAAAAAATGTACCTATTACGCCAATGTCAAACTTTTTGATAATGTTAATTGCGCCATTTTACCAGCATATCATTTACATGAAAACATGTACATGTACTATAATTAATCTGTCGACTTTTTGAATGAACACTATACTATTAGAGTTAATGAACATCCCACATTGTTGTATTGTCCTGACCATTCATGAAAAATTTTCCACTGGACGTTGAGCAAACATTAATCAATCACACTGTTGTAGGGGATCTCAAATTCTGTAAGACATTCAAACAAAAATTGCTTATTATTGGAGGTCATGCGGTGATCTATATATAAAAATAAAAAGATATGGTATGATTCCAAATGAGACAACTCTCCACCAGAGACCAAATGACGTAGAAGTTAAGTTTTTATTGTTGTTTTCTTTATCGTCTTTTGGTCTCTGGTGGACACATATTATGGCAAAATTTTGAGCAATTTGCTAATTTGAAGAGCGGCCATATTGCTTTATCATGACGACAGCCATTTTAATAGGATTACACATGCCCCTTAAATAAGTATGCAAAAATGCCAATTTCTCAACCGCATTAACAATTTGTCCGCATTTAGGCCGATAGTACGTGTTATTTTTTCCTTCTGTACGTACACAAATTAACAGTGTCAACTTAAAAATCTTTCGACCGTTTTAGAAAATCGGAAGCGTAACTGTAAATAATTGGTATATAAAATAGCCAAAATTCGTCAAAAAGCCAGATTCAAAATAAAAATAAAAAATCAAGAAGCGATTGTTCATGATTTGTCCGCATATATTCAAATTCTGTATTCAATTTTTTTATAAATGACTTTCCATCTTATCTTGACTCCTGTCTGGATACAGCAGTTTCCCTTCACTCAGAGAAATTGAATTGTTTGATGTATGCAGATGATATTGTAATTATGTCAACATCAGCCACAGGTATTCAAAGTAGACTAAATCAGCTAGAAAAATATTGTGCTGACTGGTGCCCTAAAGTTAATATTGGAAAAACTAAAGTTATCATTACTAATAAGGCCGGAAGAAAAATTCAGGCTGATTTCCTGCTACAGAATAACTTGATAGATTGTGTCTCTCATTACAAATACTTAGGTGTTCACTTCACTGCATCTGGAAGTTTTCATCTAGCTAAAACTGAACTATATAATAAGGCTCTTAAGGCCTATTATAAACTAAGAAATGATTTTATAAATTTGTCTCCGGGAATAAAATCCTGTGTACATATTTTTGATCATACCCTTAAACCCATTCTGTTATATAATTCAGAGGTATGGGGAGGTTATAATGTTTCTTGTAATAAATTACAATCCTCCTTATTTAATCTTGAAAATATTTATAAAAAGATTCAGTGTGAAAAACTTCATCTCAAGTTCTCAAAATTTATATTTGGTGTACATAAAAGAAGTGTAAGTTTTGCTGTATTATCAGAACTGGGGCGTTTCCCCCTACATTATGATATTGTAAACGGTCAATTGTAAAATACTGGTATAGTTTTGAAAATCTTCAGACTGAATCAAGTCTGATGAAAGACGCTTATAAATGCAGCCAAGAGCTTCACAAATCTAACATAACTTCTTGGTTCTTATTTGTTAAGAAATTATTAGAAGTTTTTGAAATTAAACAAAAAGTAAAATATTTTGGACATTATAAATTTTTGAATATATATAACAAATTAATTCACACTGAATATATAAACAATTGGTATGTTAGCCAAAAAAAAGAGCTTCTGATGGAAAATTGTTCAATTATTTGAAATGTAAACAAAATTTGGGCTATGAAAATTATCTCTCTTTGGTTAAGAACTTTGATTTTAGAAGAGCTATTTGTAAATTACGTCTGCTCATAAGCTTCAAATAGAGTTTGGCCCGTTAAAAATATGCCAAAACAGTTAAATTCCAAGAAAAAAAATGGCGGAAATTGCCGAGAAAAGTTTACTTATAATTGAAATCATTTCTCCAAAACAACTGTCTGGCATATTTTTTTTGTCTTCTAAAAGGCAAAAAATTCTGCCAGGACAGTAGTCTATTAAGTCAGAAATTTTGAAGAAATTCGCTAAAAATCAAATATAAAGTTATGGAGAGTTGTCTCATTGGCACTCATACCACATCTTCTTATATCTATTGAATACTTTCTTTAAAATGAATGTCTGGCAAGCAAGTTTTTGTTCTTTGGAAAGTTTGAAATATAAGCTTTATGAGAATATAAATTTTATGGACTTTTATTACATCAACACAAAAAATTTACCCAATCATAAAAAAAAACGAGATATTGAATTATCTTTCATTTCTAAAGCAAGAAAAACTCCCGGGACAGTAGCTCAATACGTCTTAACTTGTGAAAAAACTTGTTTCAAATCGAAATACAAAGTTGAATATCTTCTTAAATATAATTGTCTGGCATCAAGGATTTATAAAGTAAGAATATAAACCCTTGCTGGCATAAAGTTGTTATTTCTTATAAGGGTTTCCAGTTGAACATTTTGGAAATATGAAAATCAATTTATGTATTTTGTAGTATCACAGTATAAATCTGTCAGGACAGTAGACTATTACATTTAAATTCCCAACGAAGTTATGTTTATATTTATTGGTATTCATTGTAAAATATCTGCCAGAACAGTCGTCCTACTTATATATATATATATATACCTAAATTGAGGTAAATTATGTGGCCTTTCAATAACCGTTTCGATTCCTAACATCACTGAAGAAACATTAATTGTCGAAATCCGGATATGGTGTACACAAAATATTTGCACCTTTGTTTGCGGTATACCATCTTCGCCGCAAGTTTATTGTTTTCTTTTTGGTATTAAATTTATAGTTAAGATCCATTTATTACACCTTGTGATCCGTTTATTTGGCAATCGCCAATGGCAGTCAGCAGGATTTAAGACATTTGTTGTTCGACCTGTTAGTCAAATGCGTTTTGTTAAAATATACTTTTTCACTTTTTTGGTCTTTTGGAAAATGTTGTTTGTGCTGTATTGAGACCCCTCTAACAAGAAATTTGTTTTGCATGCACACGTATAAAAATTGCAGTTTTTATCCAACGCAATCATAGGTTTGAACGTTGTTTTCAATTTAGACTTGTTTATATTTTTTCGTTTGGGCTTGTATTATATTTGCCTTCGGGTTTATATGATCCGTTCATCCTATTTTGACTCCTCAAAATTCAAGAGTCTATCCTAAATTGAGGTAAATTATCAGTGTGGCCTTCCAATAACCGTTTCGATTCCTAACATCACTGAAGAGACATTAATTGTCGAAATCCAGATATGGTGTACACAAAATATTTGCACCTTTGTTTGCGGTATACCATCTTCGCCGCAAGTTTATTGTTTTCTTTTTGGTATTAAATTTATAGTTAAGATCCATTTATTACACCTTGTGATCCGTTTATTTGGCAATCGCCAATGGCAGTCAGCAGGATTTAAGACATTTGTTGTTCGACCTGTTAGTCAAATGCGTTTTGTTAAAATATACTTTTTCACTTTTTTGGTCTTTTGGAAAATGTTGTTTGTGCTGTATTTAGACCCCTCTAACAAGAAATTTGTTTTGCATGCACACGTATAAAAATTGCAGTTTTTATCCAACGCAATCATAGGTTTGAACGTTGTTTTCAATTTAGACTTGTTTATATTTTTTCGTTTGGGCTTGTATTATATTTGCCTTCGGGTTTATATGATCCGTTCATCCTATTTTGACTCCTCAAAATTCAAGAGTCTATCCTAAATTGAGGTAAATTATGTGGCCTTCCAATAACCGTTTCGATTCCTTATATCACTGAAGAGACATTAATTGTCGAAATCCGGATATGGTGTACACAAAATATTTGCACCTTTGTTTGCGGTATACCATCTTCGCCGCAAGTTTATTGTTTTCTTTTTGGTATTAAATTTATAGTTAAGATCCATTTATTACACCTTGTGATCCGTTTATTTGGCAATCGCCAATGGCAGTCAGCAGGGTTTAAGACCATCAGTTGTTCGACCTGTTAGTCAAATGCGTTTTGTTAAAATATACTTTTTCACATTTTTTGGTCTTTTGGAAAATGTTGTTTGTGCTGTATTTAGACCCCTCTAACAAGAAATTTGTTTTGCATGCACACGTATAAAAATTGCGGTTTTTATCCAACGCAATCATAGGTTTGAACGTTGTTTTCAATTTAGACTTGTATATATACTAGTATATATATATATATATATATATATATATCTTTTCCACAAGTTTATTGTTTTCTGTTTGGTATTTAATTAGTATAAAGATCCATTTTGTTAGATCGGGTGATCAATTTATTTGGCAATCGCCAATGGCAGTCAGCAGGGTTTAAGAACATCAGTTGTTCGACCTGTTAGTCAAATGCGTTTTGTTAAAATAGACTTTTTCACTTTTTTTTGGTCTTTTGGAAATTGTTGTTTGTGCTGTATTTAGACCCCTCTACTAAGAAATTTGTTTTGCATGCACACGTATAAAAATTGCGGTTTTTATCCTACGCAATCATAGGTTTGAACGTTGTTTTCAATTTAGACTTTTTATATTTTTTCGTTTGGGCTTGTATTATATTTTCCTTCGGGTTTATATGATCCGTTCATCCTATTTCGACTCTTTAAAATTCTAGAGTCTATCCTAAATTGAGGTAAATCATATGGCCTTCCAAATACCGTTTCGATCCCTAACATCACTGAAGAGACATTTATTGTCGAAATCCGGATATGGTGTACAAATTTTTGCACCTCATGTTTGTGGTATACCATCTTTTCCACAAGTTTATTGTTTTCTGTTTGGTATTTAATTAGTATAAAGATCCATTTTGTTAGATCTGGTGATCAATTTATTTGGCAATCGCCAATGGCAGTCAGCAGGGTTTAAGAACATCAGTTGTTCGACCTGTTAGTCAAATGCGTTTTGTTAAAATAGACTTTTTCACTTTTTTTTGGTCTTTTGGAAATTGTTGTTTGTGCTGTATTTAGACCCCTCTACAACGAAATTAGTTTTGCATGCACACGTATAAAAATTGCGGTTTTTATCCAACGCAATCATAGGTTTGAACGTTGTTTTCAATTTAGACTTTATATATATATATATATATATATATATATATATATATAAATATATATATAGAAGTCTATAAAAAGCACCAACCAGCAAATTTACTATGTACCGGATCGTCTAGAATAGACGATACTGTGCAGATAAGGAAAAAAATATATAAGTCTAGAGATTTGCACAACGATACTTATATAAGATGGTATTATACGAAGATGTTGTTATAAAATCGTGTTGACAAATATTTCGGCTTAACAAATAGCCTTCTTCAGTGTCAATTATTTTAACTATTATACTCAATATATATATATATAGCTAAATATTTGGTTGGCACGTGCTTTTCATCTGACTGTATTTGTGTAATCTGTGCAATCTGTGTAATCAGGGGTGCATTCAATATCATCTATAGCTGCTACGTAGACTTCGACTTCTGAACGTAAAGCTAGCCTAGCCGCTAAATAGATCTATATAGCCTGAAAAATTCATGCTATCTAGAGAATCCAAAATGGCGTCGGATAGGTTATTTATTAATGACGTCAATTGGATAGCCTGGCTACGTAGCATATCGTTCAACATTGATAGATATCTAATACATAGCGGCTATCTAGCTGCTACGGTATTAAATGAACCCTGTGTTGTCAGCCAAACTGAGCGTGGGGTAATGAATACCTATGTGAAGATATTTATTGTTTTAACTGCTCCCTATCTATTCGGAATAGAATTAAAAAAAATGTATAACAAAAACCCACAGCAAGCTGTTTAATCGGATTGTTGTCTCTTTGACACATTCCCCATTTCCATTCTCAATTTTATCATTATTTTATTATGTCTGTAAAAGTTGATTAAATCTCAAATTTACCGCAAGCACCAAAACTTCATGGGGGTACATGTTGAATTTGAAACTGAACTTTTGAGAGAATATCTTGTGAATTGTCTGGAAAAAGGTGAGTTTATCCATTTCCAAAGAAAAAATAAATAAGCATAAAAGGTAAACCTAAATATAAAACTATAATAGTGAGTGTGGCAAATCTGATTCAGTAGAAGACATGTTACGGTGTGATGGCAGAAAGGAGTTAAGAAATACAACATTTGAAAACACGTTTCATGTACTGGGGGTAAAGAAGGTGACATGTTCCTGTGTTCTAAACACATGGCTAATTAGATCATTAAATTAACTTTTAAAGGATCTGACACCAATTAGTGACTTTGAAGTTTTTATTACTGTCAAATAATAAATTACCTGACTAAATTTGTTCACATTTTGCGTCTTATATATATTAACACGATTAGTATTGTTGTTTTTCACATTTGTAAACTGCAAACATTTAAATTAGATAATAATAAAAAAAAAAACCATTCTATGCCAGATAATTATTTTGAATTTGAAACAAAATTCTTCACAAGTGCCGATGTAATATGCTATTGTCTGGCATATTTTTTTACTGTCGAAAATGAAAATTTATTTTAGTTCAATTTCTTGATTTTTTAAATTATTTGGTCCTCAACTTTATGATAATACCAAAATAGTATGCCAGACAATCGTAACAAAGACACTATTTGATTTATAATTAAACATTTCGTTGTTGATTTCCGCCATTTATTCAGAACATTTAACGTATTAGGCTACTGTCCTCCTGGCAGATTTTTTATTGTGTGAACGAAATAAAATCCATAAAATTATATAAAGGTAATTTCCTAAAGCTTATATTTTAACCTTTCCAGTGAACAAAAAATTACTTGTCAGACATTCATTTTGAAGAAGATATTCAACTTTATATTTTGAATTTGAGATAATTTCTTCACAATTTCTAACGTAATAGACCTTATCGCTGCTATTTTGGAATCTGCGACACTTGAACTATTGACGTCATACAACAATCACTTTTCCATTGTGGCGTCCGACGTTTTCTATTACGACGTAAAAATTTTACGGGAACCTTTGTGATGTCCAGTAATGGCGGACAAATAGCGATAAGGTGTATAGGCTATAGGCTACTGTCCTGGCAGATTTTTTTACCTTTAAAAGACGAAAAATATTAAATTATAGATTTTTAAATGATTATATTCCCTAAACTTTATAATCGTACAAAAATATTATGCCAGACAGTTGTTTTGGAGAAATGATTTCAATTATTTGTAAACTTTTCTCGGCAATTTCTCCCTTTTTGTACTTAAAATTAAACTGTCCTGGCATATTTTTTTTTAAAATTTTGCTTTCTAATTTTTAAAAACTTTACAAATAAAAAAGAAGTAAATACCCTGCTTTTTATTACAGAGTTTAAATTTTGACAATATGTTGAATAAAACAAAAATTAACAGATTAAAACATATCAATATATAAATGTCCTGGTTTTATCTGTCCTGGTAATCTTCCTCAAAATGGGAAAAGACTTGATTATCCGCAATTTGATAGAATTTATAATTATCAATATACAATTAACAGAGGTCATTTACTTAACAGGACAGAAGTCACGTGGTGCAAATTCAATGAAAAAAGAACCTAGGATTTTGCCATATGAATTGACTCTTTGTCAATGATATTACATCTGTTTACTTTCATATAATTTAAAATTTGATTTAAAAAAAAATTAAAATGGCTTTTTTCCCTCCAGTGGAAATTGCCGGTCACACAGAGGAGGGAAGTCGTTTATGCTTAGCCAATCATTAAAAGAAATTTTCAAATCAATTTCTATATTGAAGAAAACGAAATTTATAATTTCCAAAATGAAGTAGCACAAAAGTAGCATTAGCGCAAATGAATTGAAGATACAATTTAATGCATTATATGCGCAAACGGATATCGGTGAAATCAACATAGCAAACCCACTTTCAAGTTATAAAATCGCCCCATAATGCAAGTTCAAATCTATCTCCTTTGAGTATAGAGCAAAAGTAATTCTGTTTTGTATTAAATTATTGTCAAAGAAATATTCCATTTTGATAACAATCTCATATCTTTATTTTTTGTAGTGAAATTCTGTGACTCCAAGGCTTACAATCCCTCTTATCAGACTTGCTGTGATGGTGTGATAACTGTCCCTGGGGGGTGGCCATGTTGCAAAACGGAGGTTTATAACCCAGAATATGCGATCTGCTGTAAAGATACTATTCATTATAAGAAAGGCTCGTCCTGCTGTAAGGACAAGGCATATAATCCGATATATGAAACATGCTGCGATGAAAAAATATATCAAGTAAAGGATGGACACTGCTGTGGTGAGAAAATTTATGATCCAAAGACAGAAAAATGTTGCGATGGATCGATAAATCAGAAGGTAGAACCATTTTACCAGTGTTGCTCAGACAAGGCATATAGTCCAGCATTTGAAACTTGTTGTTCCGGTAAACTATATTCCCAAAAAGGACTAGAGTGTTGTGGAGAAAAGTCTTACAGTCCTTTGCATGAAACTTGTTGTTCCGGTAAATTGTATTCACAAAGAGGACTTAAGTGCTGTGGACACAAGATTTACAGTCCTTTGCATGAAACATGTTGTTCCGGTAACCTGTATTCACAAACAGGTCTAAGGTGTTGTGGAGACAAGAGTTATAGTCCTTTACATGAAACATGTTGTTCCGGTAAACTGTATTCACAAAGAGGAGTAAAGTGCTGTGGACACAAGATTTACAGTCCTTTGCATCAAACGTGTTGTTCCGGTAAACTGTATTCAATAGGAGGACTAGAGTGTAACATTTGTGGAGACAAGAGTTATAGTCCTTTACATGAAACATGTTGTTCCGGTAAACTGTATTCACAAAGAGGAGTAAAGTGCTGTGGACACAAGATTTACAATCCTTTGCATCAAACATGTTGTTCCGGTAAACTGTATTCAATAGGAGGACTAGAGTGTAACAGTTGTGGAGGCAAGAGTTATAGTCCTTTACATGAAACATGCTGTTCCGGTAAACTGTATTCACAAAGAGGACTAGAGTGTTGCGGAGACAAGAGTTACAGTCCTTTTTATCAAACATGTTGTTCCGGTAAACTGTATTCAATAGGAGGACTAGAGTGTTACAGTTGTGGACATAAGAGTTATAGTCCTTTACATGAAACATGTTGCAACGGAATTGTTACTGAACCCAGTGGTTTATCATGTTGTGGTACAACGGCATATGAATCTTCTACACAGTCATGTTGCAATGGCAAGATTACGCATTCAAACTCTATATGTTACACAGACAATCGGTCAATGAGAGATAGAGATTTTAGGGCAATTTTGAGTAGATTTTCTCCATTGCTGATTTTCTGACTTAGGAAAAGTTTCTTTTTACTATATACAGTTGCATTTATTTGCCTGATAACACGTTAATTAATGTATATTTTAGTAAAACAAATTATTTATTTTCAAATATTTATTAGAATTAATATGTATTTTACATACGTATGAACATAGGCTGACGTGAAACCTAAACGTCTGAGTCTGAATGATAGATTTAAGAGCTACATAGAATAGATAAAAAACAATTTATTTTCATAACGATTATACTAAGTTTTTAAGTTAATTGGGAAGCCAAATTATGAATATCTTATGACAGGTCATTTGCTTGTATTTAATTTATTATATTGTTTCGTTTTGGATAGGGTACTACCAAAATTCTGAAAAGCATATGATTATACAATGTATATAATTTAAACTCCGTACATTGATCGATTCTGTTCCAGAAATATTTTTTCTTTAGTGTAGAGTTGAACTATTAGTCCCCGAGGGTATCATCTTTTAGTAGTTAGTACTTCGGGTACCGACATGATTTATGACAAAATTTTCTAAAATTGTCCGTTTATAAATTTTTAAATTATAAAGAAACTAAGGATTCAACTCCTTCATGCAGAATTGACCTTAGATGGATTTGGCTATTTGTTTTAGGTACTTTTGGTTATATAACTCTTCAAATGTTTCGGTTCTTTTACATCTTTGACGTTCAAATATTCGGCTTTGAGAGTTCCTGATGAAGGTAAATCCAGAAAAGCGCTTTAGACGCATGTAATTTATAACGTGTTGTTTTCATTTGTTTTGGATGCGGGTCGGAGCTGGAACTGCCTGTTAGATTGTAGATAACTGACATTGTGCAAGGAAAGATAGGCTTTACTTAAGAATAATTGAGATAGAAAGATAACTTAAGAATGACGGATATATGTCACTGAAAGCCATTAGAGCAATATGACAAATTATGTTTTTACTACTTTTTTTTCTAGAAATCAGTATACCGACATGGTTTGTGTGATGTGTATATTGTGAAATAAAATTGAGAATGGAAATGGGGAATATGTCAAAGAGACAACAACCCGACCAAAGCCTGAATAATGATGTGTTATAAACATTGAATTTTAGTCTACGTAAAACAAAATAACGAGATGTCAAAGCTGACTTGAATTCGACACATTATGAGCACATTTCGAAAAAATATTTCGTCAGTCATCTTGAAATATTATAAAACAAAAGAAGGAGAAGATAGCAGGTGGACATTTTAAACTGATAAGTCAAAGAAAGATAAACTGACAATAAAAAACCCTCAAAGACGACAAAGTTTACGAAACACTATATAAAAAACTTAAGATTGAGAAACACGAAACCCATCAAATATTCTATTATGACTTTGATAAGATTAACAATTACAAAGAGATATATTTAGGGTATCAAATTATTATTACAAGTAGCTATAGGGTATTCAAATAGTTGGTTCGCAGTTGCCAATGTATGTTAAGAGGTAAAAAGTATTAACGTGTATTTAAACATTTCTAAACATAAATTGCGCATTGTTAAATTATCAAAATATATCGTCTTCCTACATTCAAAACACACATTAATAATATGTATTATTTTTCGATTTTTTTTAAATTTTGAAGTTTTACACTCAGGTTGATTGCTACTTAAAGGCTACAATCAACCATTAAATATGATGAGCGCAGCCATTTTATGAAGATAATACGGTATTTAGAGTTAAGAGTTTATTACTAGACACTTCGTGCACTCTGCATTATACCAAAAGCAAAATAATGTATCATTCCTAAACCTTTAAGGAACTGAGAAGTGTTTTCTACGCCGTGATGAGACACGTGTTTTAAAGTGCATAATTGATAGATAAAGAAGATAAGTACAGATTACGTTAAGAAAAGCAACGGCAACCTATTTTTTTTGGACTGCAAAATACTGTCCTAATTATTTTTCTTTAATTCTAGCAAGGTTTCGTTCTAAAAATCAACTTTGTAAAGTCTTTACCTCGAAAAAGGCTACTATTGTCGCCTTCGGGAACATTAATTGGAGTTTTTTTTGCGATCTCAAAGCAACAAAATACGGAAAGTCTGACGGGTGTACTATTTCGAACGTGTGATTATGTCGAGCAGTTCGGACATCAACGAGATAACCCACCCTTTTGGTACATTTCAAATCTTGCAAATGTTTACTTCATTATGTGTTTCTCACATAAACAATCTAAATTGAAATTGACATTAAAGTTTTGTAAGGTAATATATCATCTTATTGACAAATACAGTATGATGCGTGTGAAGTGATTACGCCCTTTACACCAGTTATAGTTTCGTGTTAAAATCACATGGAACGAGTTTCTTGAAATTATAATGTTAAGGAAATTATATATATTGATAAATGAAAGTTAAGAGTCATATGCAGCTAATGCTACTTCAAATTCAACAAAAAAAGTTGAACTTGTATGGATGAAATGTTTTTCTATAATTTACGTGTATATTATAGACAAAGCAAGTCCGTTATTTTATTCAAATCTTCAACATATGTACTGCTATTGAATTGTTGTATTTCCCGTACTGTCATTCGCCGACATTTGTTGGTATACAGTGACTTTTACCATGACATCTCGCGTTTAAAATTCGGCAACCATACAGCGCAAGAGCGAAGGAAAAACCATCCTGAAGTACAACTAAATGTAAGCAAAAGTGGAAAGAAGATATTATCAATCGATTCTGAAGGAAAAATTTTAATACACCAAGTCTTTTAACAACTGTGTTGGCAAAGTTGAATTAACCAATTGGAACGCATGAACAATAAAACAAAAGAAATAAACATCGCTCTATCATCTTACTTATTTTCCTTGTACGATGATTCCTTGTTGGTTGTTAATCATGGCTACAATCGGTAAACTTTGGATCAAAACCCCGAAAGTTAATAAGGAGCCAAGGTTTTCGATCAACAATCAAGAAATGAAATATTTTTTTTTGTTAATTATACATTACGGATCGTTAAAAAAATGAAAAAAAAACTTACACATAGGACTTAAGCCGTGTTCACACCAAACGCTGCGAACTATAAACCTGTTTACAATGAGTTTCATGTAATGAACACTGGTTTCACATTAAATTTGTTCTCAGCTGTACATCGGTTTTAGTTACCTGTACATGAACTGTTCACACCAGTAAACAACATGTACACGTAATTTACATGTACGTAACATAGAATTGAATTTAAAAATTTCTCTGTAAACTTTTGTATCAGTTGTACAGTAATAAAAATATGGTTTCAAATTGTTCAACGAAGATGAATAGTCAGTACCTTATGAAAATCGTTCTATTGATTTAAAGAACTTTGAGATTTCTAAAGATGTCACGATAACGCAGGCTATAACAGCGTAACAATAGGCGAAAAAAGGATTTTAAATTGATTGATTATTGATGTCCTGTGGCAAATTTTTCATGCATATTCAGGATGAGAACAAATTCACAATAAATACAATAAATAGGTCCTTTCATAGACGCCGTCCGAAATGAAGATGGACGTGGCTGAGTACTTGTACATCCCGCACAGCCAAACGGACGACCCACTTTGGTAAGGGTCAAATGGCAGATCGTAAAAAAAGATTGGGGTGATTTTGGAAATGAATAGCCTGGACGGGTACTGTAAATATAACCTAATGAAAATGAATATTTTGTCCTACAAAATGCAGGACTTTGCATGAAATAGTTTTTGTACAAAAAGTGAAAATAATTTTCGCTCTAGATAAAAAAGCCGTACTATCAACCGGTGTAAAATGAATATTCTATCAACAAAATATCCCCCTCCCACTAAAAATCAAATGGTCCACTAAGGCTATTAAATTTAATCATGTTTTTAAATGAGCAATTTTTTAGTTTTTTCATATAAATAGGAAAATAACTTAATTCATAATATAATTATAATCATTTATATTCAAAATATGTTACTTCCTTAAATATTCACAATAATATCCATGTTCTTTTTGTCTGACTTGTTTTTGAACACTTAACCCACACAAGGCCTACATTGATTATTGACTGCATGTAGTCAAAACCTGTTTTAAACTACTTGTAAACAATGAGTTTTAGTCAATGGGAACGTAAAAGAATTTAGTTTAAGTGTATAGAGTACATTATCACCACACTGAGTTAAGCCCAATATGAACACGGCCTTAGTTAAGTAAATGTAAATGCATTGTAGGCTACATATACATGTATCTCCATGCAATTTGCGTCCCATTTTGATAAATAAATTAGACTGTCAAATACTCTCTTCAAAATTACTTTTAAATATTTGATGTACTCTATAATGGTTTACTTTTATAAATTTTGACTTGGATGGAGAGTTGTCTCATTGGCACTCATACCACATCTTCTTATATCTATCTAAGACACTAACAGTTCTGCGCACAAGACTTAAGTTTCAATCTCAGAGAACATAAGTTATACACTAACCGAAGTTGAGCTTTGAACAAGCTTTCAGTATCTCCGAGTACTCTTGGTAATGTGTGTCGTTTGTCTTTTTTATTTTTTTCTGTCTCAAGCCAGTGGTTGTCGTTGGTTACTGTCTGCCATTTTAGTTTATCATTCATTTTATGATATAAATCAGGCCGATGGTCTTCTCTTTTGAATTGCTTTCTATTTTGTCTATCCGATCTTTTATTGCATATTATACGGTATGGATTTTGGCAAATGTTGAAGGTCATACGGGGATTACATTTGGTTTCTGTTTACCGAACATATTGCAGCTTGTAAGTTCCACAAGTAAGAACATAAATTATATTTTCCGTCTTACAGTTATATGTTACATAGGTGTTGTATCGCTGCTTTAATTTGTTGCTGTGAATGTGAAAGTGACATTCCTTTTTTTTCTTTACCTTAGATGTATAATTATCTTTGAGAAAATGGCTATTTTTTTCGACAGAAAAAATACCCCAGCTGATCTGCAAGGTATACCATCTTCTTTCCACTACACATCATATACAACTCTAGAAAAAGCCGACGAGGAAAGGCATTACTCGACTTACGAAAGCGCATATTACCCAGTTGACCGAGTTGTCCATGGCGCTGGTCGCAGTGCAGGAGGTGTTGCTAAGGTGTCACAGAAGCAGGGGTTCAAATCCCGTTG